TCCTGCTTTCCCTTTCGCCTCCCTGCATTGTGCCTACATATGCAAATTAACCGCCATCTTTGTTGTCAGTTAACTGCCATCTGAGTTGGCAGTTAATTTGCATATAGCCCTGATTAGCCAATGAAAAGGGTAGCATCTTCCGCCAATTACCATTTTTCTCTTTTATTAGTGTAGATACAATTTATAAGAGTATCAGTAGGAGATAAAGGATCAAGGCATTAGAATTCTAACACGTTAAATAAATTAAGATAAATATTATTTTTTACATTAGAAAGTTATACTGAAAGATAATCAAATGTTGCATCTTTAAAGGGCAAACACCATGCTCTTGATGGGGCTTATACGAATTAGATCAAATTGTGAATGTAATATCCGCACCATAGTACCTGTTTTAGAGGAAGACAAGAGGAGCTTTGCTGCTGTTGTTATTAGTGCTATAATTTTCAAAGGCAGTTATGCTCAGAGCTTCAGTGCCCCAGTTAACATAGCAGTACAACGCCTACCTCACTGTGTTGAGGGTTCATTGAGATACTGTGCATTGAGCAGTCAGCATGCCACCTGACCTCACCAGATGGTAGATCTTGTTGTTATGTAACTGATTCCAAGTGCATCCTCTCTATAGACAGAGGCCTTTTACAACAAACTTTATGAATTCTATTTGCCTCATTCTATTCCTCTGAGGAAAGAACAAGAGGGCTTAGCACAGGACCAGGAGAATGAAACTGACTTATTTTAAGTTTTCCTTTTATGTCTGGTCATTGAGTTCATCCTCTAGCCCTCAAGGAGGTGACCTCAATATGATGGAATTAAACCAAGGAGGATCAATGCTGTCCCTTTGAAATCTTTAGGACATTTCCCATGGCTGGGGCCAGGTTGGCCCTACCTGGCAGAAGTTTGTACTCGTGGCTCATCTAGTGAGAGAACTGACTTATAAATGATCAGCGTCATTTCAGTCATTCCCGGGAGTCATGAATTTTCATTTAAATTATAGCCAATAGGTGAGTGCGTAAGAACTACTCTTTAAAAAGCTGTCATTTTTTTTTTTTTTAGGATGGCCCAGCCTATTTTCTTTTTTGATGTAAATATTTGAAGCCAACAATGAAGGAAGGTTTTTAAAAGGCTTTTGTCACAAGCTTATGGACACCTTTCGGTTGTTTTCGGTATGAATTTCATTGGCCCTCTTTTTGAAGAGATGTTGAGAAATCTTGCTTGCTTTTAGGGCAGGGAGCTTTCCTCCTTTTGGAGGCCAATGGAAGACGCAGGAACAACATCAGCCACTAGAGGGGAGTATTCTGCACCAACTGGACCACAAAGGCAGACACCTTGAACACCAAGCTCTTCCTTGGGCCATGAGAGAACAATGTGAATGAACACGAGGCAAGAAAACAAGTTGCCATGAATGGGAGCTGCAGGTGTCTTCCGTGAGCTGAGGAACTGCCACAGTCACTTGATGGCTTGGCACAGCCGTGCCTTGCTTACCCTCAAGGATTTGTGGGGTTAGGGAAAAGTTATCTGTGTCTCCAGGTTATTCATTTATTTATATAAAATCAACTTATTCATTCCACAGATACTTATTGGCACCCACAATGTGGTTAGCATTCTTTTAGGCACTGGTGATAGCCTTAAACAAAATAGATCAAGTTCCTGCTCCCGATGAGTTTATATTCTGGTCGGGGGGAGATAGATAAATAAGCAAATATCTGCATATCAGGCGGTGTTAAGTGCTGTAAGAAAATTTAAGCAGGACAAGGGGTTAGCCCTCAATCGGTGGCAAGAGATTGCTATATTGACTAGGGTGGTCAGGTGACCAGGGTCTGAAAGAAGGGCCAGTGCAAACTGTCAATGTCTGAGGAAATAGGGTTCCACAGGGAAAATTGTAAGTTAAAAGGCACTGAGGTGAGAACATGCTGGACATATGCAAGGTACAACTGTGCAGCTGGCACTTTTTCTAAAAGCTGGTTTACAAAAGGCTGCACAAGTGTAAATTAGAATAAAACAGAACCCGAAGCTTCTTTACAACCAAAGGCCAGTAGCGTTGGCCCAGCTTTTTCTGGTCCTAGTTAAGAACATGGGCTATGTCCAACAGATCTTTATTTGAGTGCAGGTTTTGCAACACACTAGAAAGTACTAGCATAGACCTTCTGGGCAAATTACTTAACCCCTATGAGAGTGGCAGTTTCGTAGAATGATTGTGAAAGTTACATAAGACCAATGCAAGCAAACCACTAAGCATTTTACCTGACATACAGAAAGAGCACAATGAGAAGTTACATCATCTGGACTCATGATATAGTGAAGAAAAGAGCCAAATAAAGGTGAAGGATGGGCACAGTTTAATGAGTAATGAAGGTGAATTTTTAAAAGCTGGCAATTGTTGAAAATCCCTATGCAAAAGAGGACATGTACCAAAAATGTAAAATGTACACATAGTGTCTGATTCATAGAAAGACCTCAGTGAAAATCTGGGCAACATCTTAGATATTTAAAATGCTATTTGGTTGAGGAATATAGAGTGTTTAGGGGGCGTTGGTCTGGTCTTTTCAAGAGAACGTTAATGGATATTCTAGAATATCTGTGTAGGAGGGGGTTGGAAAATGTGTTAACTGCTAGAAGAGATCAAGAAATAGACTCTTTTTTTTGAAGTGCTTTTCTTTTTTTTGAAAAGTAAACACTACGTTTATTTGGGATAATCGGAGATGGGGTGGTGGTGATGGAGATATGGAGAAACTAAAGTCATATTTTGGCCTAAACAATGGCCCTGGTTGGTACCAATAACCCGGACTCCCTTTTACAGACATATTATAAGGAAATCATTACTGTAGGGAACACTGCCATGCTGGGGTGACATAGGGTAAACCATACCTGTCTTCTTAGGTTGCACTAGGCCTTGAGGAATTCTGTTAACAGAAAGGATATACCCATCTTCTGTTGTGACTTCATACTCTGCACAGGGATAGCCTTTATGTTGGATGATTTCACTCTACAGAAAAAGCACAATTTCTTTTGAGTTCGGTTCTGTAAGGCCATATTCTCAATTACCCCAGAGTAAAAAGTCGATTTCTTGATGCTGGAAGGCATAAACATAAAATTTCTTTACTTTAGCTAATCATGTTATCTTAGAAATATTGGCCAGTGCTCTGCAATTCTTTCTGGACCAGAATGCTAATTCCAAAACCTGGGTGCGCATCAGAATCGTCTGGGGCACTTAAACATGCAGGTTCCTGGGCTGGCTTTAAGTTAGGGATCAGGTCATTCTAATGCAGTCAGTGAGGCACTTGTCTTATGAGAACACCTACCTAGGCCATGCATTTCCTCAGTTTCTTTTCATCTTTAAAACCACAGACTGGGGGGAAAAAATGGTTTTAACCTGAAGTCTGAAAGATAAATAGGAGATAAGAGTGGGAGTGATGTTTAATTACTATAGTTGCCAATGCTCATTTCATATCTACTATATGCCAGGTAATTCAGTTAGTGTTATACATACGTGATCTTTTTACATTTCTTGCAATAATTCCATGAAATATAAGTCACTGGTATACCTAATTTACAAGTGAATAAACTGAAAAATAGGGATAGGTTAAATAAACTTCTTAAAATCATATAGCTAGTTTGTATTTTAGTGGTAGGGCCAGGATTAAAACTCAAGCAATGGGACTGTAGGGTCTTTCTCTTAACTATGATGCCCGTTTGCCTTATATACTACAGTGGACATTTGGTACCTAACTTCCTCCTTTTTTATTCCTTTTAAAGCAGCAGCTCTTAGAAATAATTCCCTACTTCTCTAGATGATGGCAATGGGCGAGAGCAGTGAGAATACTTTAGATCTCTGCAGCTTCCTATTTAGAAAAACTTTCCTAAATTCCCTAGGTTAGGCAATGCTTTCTTTTTTGATTTCACTATTCATGTAATTAGTAATGCAGTGTCTCCCTTCCCTACTTGGATTGTAAGCTTCATGAAGTAAAGGCTTGGATATTCTTAGATCTTTCTGTAACCTCGGTGCATAGCACACTATCAAGGGCCTAATAGGTGTTCAGTTAACACCAAGAAAATACATAAATAAAGTCAATTTTATACCAAAATATAGGATAGATTATAGCCATATAAATCAGTATAGAGTCAAACCTATTCAGACTCTGAACCACATTAATCTATCTCATTTACTTTATACCGGCAATCATTTGAATTTCCTATTTTACTTTGCCACTCTATGCATAACTACTCAATGCCAGAACTTTAGTCTTAGGGCTCCTGCAGCTCCAACAGTGTGCAGGTGCTGTGGACACACAGTGGGTGGGGCTCAGAGAGATCGCCTTGCCTATAGCTAAAGGTATTACTTCCACCCAGTAACCCAGCGAAATTTTTGTGGGACCTTCTCAGAGCCAGAAGATGGCTCCTAAGGACCTACACCAATTTGCTAACTCTCTGGACAAACTACCAAAAGACAGCCAATCTTTGGAATGATCAAAAGAAACCTGATATTTGGCATCATGTAGATTCAAAAGATTTCTAGGACCTGTCAGAGTTATAGAATCCATTCAAAGGAGGCGTCTGTAAAAAGGGTCTTAAATCTGTATTTAAACATCTTAAATCTATGAGAAATGTATGGGTTGTGAATACTACATGCAATCATCTCACTCACCTGGAGGTAGCTTCTACTGCTCACCCAGGAGGGTTTACTGCATACTGGTTGCAATTATGTGTTTGGGAAGGCCTGCTTATAAATTATAGCTCTACCACCTACTGATAATGTGGCCTAATTTAAGTTGTTTAACTTCCTCAATCTCACTTCCTTCATTTGAAAAATAGGGATGTTCATATCTACTGGAAGGGCAGTGAAGATGAAGTGAAATTAGCATTTCTGCAGGTTTTATTACAATATCTTCTATGGGATAAGTGTTACCATATGGCAGACTTTGTTAAAACTCAACTAAGAATTTGAAAGTAGGCAAAAAAAATGATCTGGGATACTACATCATTTATGAATTTTAGTCACAGGAGGTCTTCTCTAGCAATCATTAGGGCTTGTTTATTTATTGTCTGTCAACAGGATAACAGTGGAGTTATTTCCGGCCAGAACACTGATTCCAAAACCTGGGTGTGCAGGTTTTGAAGGGTGAAGGGTGCCACCAGGAGTGGGTGCCCTAATAGTAAGAAGTGAGGGATAATACTTTTATAATACAGTATTATAGTTGCCATTGCTCATTTAGTACTAATGAAAGTAGAAAAAGAATTTAAAACACAGACAAAATGAAAATAATGGAGGGTCTGGGCTTGGCCTAAGATACTGCAATGATTTCTCTGCTCATAGAATGAATCTAAGAATTCAAGGGAAAGTCAAATTGTGTTTCAAGACCAAAAGGACTAAGTCATCCACCCAAGTTTATTGAATTTGTTTGACAAGAACCCAGTCTACTCACACCCAGTTTAGCAGTTTAGCACTTCACAGTACAATATGCTAATTTATGATTCCTCTGTTAGCAAAAATCACCACCATGTATAAATATAGCGCATAATGCAGATAATACACAGATGTGAACATTAACATGTAAGGCACTCCATCCCCCTAAAACATATGGAAAATCCAAACTTACGATGTTCATGAACGCTTCGGGGTCCACATCTTTAGTCGGCATGCGTACTGAATTCACATTTCTTTGGAACAAATACACCACCAGCATCAGAAGCCACATCTCAGTTCTGTGTGAAACAACCATTCTCTTGACAAGATTTTTGACATGGTCCAACATCTGCCTTTACGCTTTCCTGGCAATAAACAACTAATTCTAAAGTCAGAAGGATCTGTAGGTTTAAAAACACATATTTTCCAGCTATAATTCCTTCCCAAAATTCTGGAGCAAATTAAATAAGCTCAGTTGATAGGAATGAACGAACACAGAGCTGGAATGGAAACATTGTCTAGGATGTCCCAATATCATCTGGCTCCTCCCACTCCCTCACACTATTAGCAGTCACCAATCCCTTAATTTGAAGGCGTGTAGAACTTTCTTTGATGCAACCTGGAGTTATGTGCATAGGATACAGCCCATAACATCCTTGTTCTTCACCGTCAGGTAATAAGGACCATAGGGAGCATCTTTTTCTTTTTTCTTAGTTTTTCTTCCTTCGATAGGTAGAAAAATATAGTCTACAGAAAATAGTATAAGTTCCTATAGTCACATTCTAAGGTTTTAATAATTACTATCCTTTGATTGAAGATCAATGTAGTAATAAATATTCTTATTTAATATGTCAAAAAATTTTAAGACATTTTCCATTTTTAGTGATGGGTGAGAACATCGATTGGAAGAAAATGAATTTTACATCTTAAGGCCATTTCTAGCTCAACTAAATAGACATGTACAAAATTTTTATTTTAAGTTGTAATCACTAGTTAATTGCTGAGAGATTAATTCAAAACTCTCAGCAATAACTAAAATGAATTGCAACCTAGTCACAGTGTGTAGCAATGTGATCAATTCCTTAGACTACTAATATTTAAGCAGGCCAGGAGAATAGAATTTTTGTCATTTTAAGTAAAGAATGTGTTAAAATTTAAGAAAACTATCATTTAAAGTAAAATATTTCTTTACTTTTACAGCAACTCTCTGGGACTGAGCTAATAGCAGTCACACTAATTTGTAGACTTTTAGAATGTGGTTGGTGAAGGAACCAAAGCTGGAACAGGAATGATGAGTCTATGAGAAAGTATCTGCCCACAGACTCAGCCTCACCCACTCTGGGCTGGCTGAACCTGTATGAGGTAAGCTGCAGCTCTCATCTAGAATAATTTCAACATTGCCACCTTGTTGATCCGATACATGCTAAGGAGGAGTGAGTTGACCTAATTAGAGGAGCAGAGGGAACATTTGTCTAACACTAAGGAGACACATGTCCTAGTACCCACTGAACATACCCTGAAGTTCTGTATCCAACATGCAATTGTAGAAAAGAGCTTTGGTGCCTACTGTTGGCATTTTAGGATTTTAAAATGTTATATAGCCAGGAGGAAAGAAAATCTCATTCGGCTCTTTCATTTTTTAGAAATGTGAAGACATGTTAAATGACTTGCCCAACATTACCTTACTAGGTAGTGGCAAGGCCAGAAATAAAATTCAGGCATTTAAATCAACTGTTTATTATTATTCCACATGGCAAAAAAAATAATGTGTCAATATCCTCTGCCCTGTGCATGAACAAAACCCCACATACTATCAAAAGCAATTACATAAATCTCCGTGAATTATCTCTTTAAAAGTTTTCTCCTGGATTTAAAATTTAAAATAATTTTTGACATGAAAATTAAAACTAAACTACAGAACAACCATCATTCAGAATCACCTGAAATCCAGCTGAATGAAAATCCTATAACTAGGGATTTAAAGACGACGGCACATTGAGACTAGTAGGAGGGGTAGAGGCAAGGAATGGGCTGATTCTATACCACATGTGCCAGATAAAAATTAGGAGGGATAGCTCACCTGTAGAGGTCACCCCTGAGGAGTGAGGGATCCCTGCCCCACACTTAGACCTCTTCAGCCCGGGATTCCAGGGCCAGGAAGAGAAGTCCCCACAGCTTCTGGCTGTAAAACCCAGCTGGGACTGAGACTGAGGGAGACAGAGGGCTGCTGGAGTCCTGGGCAGTTCCTATTAAAGGACCAGGGCACAGACATACTCAGACTCACTCTCTCTGAGCTCCAGCGCTGAGGCAGAGGCTTGAAAGGAACATATGGGGAGCAACTGAATTGTCTGGGATCAGGGTGAGAGCTGGGGGTCAGCTTCCTGCCAGAAAAAAGTGCTGGCAGAGGCCATTCTTCCTTTTCTGAGACACCATCCCTCCACCTCCCCACACAGCCAGCAGGTGAGTACCACACTGAGGTTCCATCAATCTGGTTTACACTGTTTGCCCAGCCCTGGTGATTCCCTGAGTCCTTTCCCCACCCAACTTATAGGCTCAAGCAGACTGTTTTCAATGGCTTTTCCATATGAATGGCCTCTCATGCCTCATGCTTTGGACTTTCCTAAAATCTCTCAAACAAGCAGCATCTGGCCTCTGTGTACCCCCCTACCTCTTGCAAAGTGAACCCAGGCCCGACATTAGCAGCAGTTTGCCTTGATTTGCCTTTCCTGGGAACCTCTAAGCCCAGCAAAAGTAGCAGCCATCTGCATATCACTCTGTAGCTTATGCCAGATGGCCCCAGATAGAGCAGAGGCAGGGGCTGACCTTACACCTCCCAGAAGGCCCCAGAGCCAATCCATCCAGTGGACAACTTCAGATGACACCAGATTATAACCCTACCACCTCCATGAGTGACACACTTAAGGGTCAGACTCGGCAAGCACCAAAGCCCAACTGAAGTAAATCCTGATTTGTACAGTTAGCTCCTGCACAACAGCTCCTCTGCTGTAGTTGCAGCAGGTCCTCAGAGTTGATTGGCTTGGAAGTCAATCTCTCTCAGTGCTGCAAAAAGCAATCAAGACTCAACTACAACAGGACAATGCATACAGCCCAAGAGGGGTGAACCTGGAGTGCTGTGCTTGGGTGAATGGGAAGGCTGTGCCACTGGACCCTACAGGACATCTACTACCCTAGGCCACTCTACCACGTCCGAGAGATGGATCAGCTCTACCTAATACACAGAAACAAACATAAGGAAGCAGCCAAAATGCAGAGACAAAGAAAAAGATCCTAAATGAAAGAACAAGAGAAATCTCCAGAAAAAGAACTAAATGAAATGAAGGCAATAAACTGCCAGATACAGAATTCAAAATAATGGTTAAAAGGATGTTTAAGCAACTTAGTGAGAACTTCAAGGAACTTAGTAGGAACTTCAACAGCATGAAAAAGGACAGAAACCATAAAAAAAAAACAGTCAGAATTGAGGGACACACCAACTGAAATGAAGACTAATTAATTTACAGGGAATCAATAGTATAGTAGATGAAGCTGAAAATCAAATCAGCAATTGGGAATATAAGCAAGCAAAAACACCCATTAGAACAGAAAATAAAAATGATTCCCCCCCAAAATGAAGATAGTATAGGAAGCCTCTGGGACAACTTCAAGTGTTCCAACATTTGCAGCATGGAGGTGCTGGCTAAAAAGGAGAAGAAAGAAAGCAAAAACATATTTGAAAAAATAATGACAGAAAACTTTCCTAATGTGGTGAAGGAAACAGACATACAAATCCAGGAGGTTCAGAGAGTCCCAAACAAGATGAACCCAAAGAGGCCCACACCAGGACTCATCACAATTAAAGTCCCAAAGGTTAAAAACAAAGAGAGAATCTTAAAAGCAGCAAGAGAAAAGCAGTTACCTACAAGGGAGTTCCCATCAGAATGTCAGCTGATTTCTCAACAGAAACTTTACAGGCCAGAAGGGAGTGGCAAGAAATATTCTAAGTGATGAAAAGCAAGAACCAACAACCAAAGGTATCATTTAGAATCAAAGGACAGATGAAGAGCTTCCCAGACACACACACACAAAAAGCTAAAGGAGTTACATGAAACAGTATTACATGAAATGTAATACCACTGAACCACTATTACATGAAATATCAAAGAATTTCTTTAAGAAGAAGAAAAAAGATGAAAAATATGAGCAATAAAATGGCAATAAATACAAATTTATCAATAATTGAAACTAAAAAACAAAATAAATGAGCAAGCAGAACAAAATAGACTCAGATACAAAGAACAGTTGGACAGTTGCCAGATGGGATTGGGGAGATGGGTGAAAAAGCTAATTTTTCTTCAGAGATTTTTCTTTTTTTCTTTCTTTTTTTAAATAATCCTCACTGAAGAATATTTTTTCCATTGATTTTTAGAGAGAGTGGAAGAGAGAGGGAAAGACAGAAATATCGATGTGAGAGAAACACATTGATTGGCTATCTCCTGCACATGCCTTGACCAGGGCCTGGGCCAGGGAGGAGCTTGCAGCCAAGGTACATGCCCTTGACTGGAATTGAACCTGGGACCCTTCAGTCTTCAGGCCAATGCTCTATCCACTGAGCAAAACTGGCTAGGGCTCTTCAGAGATTTCTATCAAGGACCTCTGTGACCTTTTAAAATGTTTTATTGTTGTTGTTCTTGTTATCATCTCCAAAAGGATCAAAATACATCTTGAAACTAACAAAATGGGTCTTGCCTAATGTGTATTATAAAAAATTAATAATATATAAAAATTACATAACAGCAATAGGTCAAATAAAAAAAATTAACAGAAAATCAGCCTTACAAATGCACTGTGTGTAAAAACTATAATAATTGCAACAGTTAAAACCAGCAAAATAGGACAGAACAAATACACAATCAAACAAACAACCAGTAACACAAGAGAGAAAAAAGAAAGTAAAACAAAAAACCCTGAAACTGGGAGAGAATTCCTATTTTCTCTTTCAGTTGCCAGTTAAATGGGCTCTCAAGCTAGTGCTGCTTTTCCCCAATGTTGAACTGAATTTTATTAAAACAATTATTTCAGGTTTTATAAACAGAAGCTTTGAGCCCAGTAGGAGCTATACCAAGAAATCGTTTTGAAAGTCCAACTAAATGCTCTTGTCAGATTCACTCTACGATGAAATGACCAGATGCTCAAATTTACGCCCTAGTCCTCTCAACAGGAGTTTCCTCACAGGACAATCCAGGCTGCAGGCAAATGGATTATGGTTTATCTACCCTTCCAATTTCTCAGAATTGAGAAATGTGATTCTCCCTTTGATCCCAATCAATTTCTCTCAGCTACTTTAATCAACATGTGATGGTTCTTCTTTAAAGAAAAATATGTTATTTTATTTTAGAGTAAAGTTATTAAAATCTAAAATAAGTTTAGTCAAACTTAAAATTTTAGAAGTTTAGGGAAATAATTTAAACATGATTACAAAACAAGATTACAGAATGTAACT